TATTAATTAAATAACAAAAAATTTTATAAAATTTTTTGTAATACTCGTTTCAATAAAAAAATAATAATCAATAATTATACTAAAAATATAAAATTTGAGTTAATTCAGGTTATTGAATTGGAGTTTTTGGAAGAAATAATAACTTCTTTTTTTAAAATAGAATACTATCGATTGATTTTTTGATGAGTTGGTGCCACATAACATCAAATGGATTTTGTGCGGCGTTAGTGTTTCACAACTTAGACAAAGACAATCGGTGTTTGTATTTATATTAATAGATTCCTGTTATCAAAATCTTCACTTTTCATTTTTAAGATTTCCTTAGTTTGTTTACTTTTACAATCATCGCATAGCCTGTTATTTCTCTGTCTTTTCAATAAGTTAGAAAAAGTCATAGCAGAAATCAAAAGATATGACATTATTTCTACTCATCTTTATGAGTTGATAAGAAATAATCATATCACCTGAGATACCCGAAAGTATTTATATAAATAATTATTTCAAATGAATAGTTTAGCACTCAGCCAATTATTTGTTTCTTGTTTTTATATTCATAACTTTCTATCTATAAGTTAAGTCTATAACATATGAAAAAAAAAGATAGCAAAAAGGGATAAACTCTCATTATATAAATTTCCATTTGTTCTATTTTTGGAACAATAAAAATTATTTTCATTTTTATAAATTCATTTAAATTGATTATTACTACCCTACTTAATCTTTTAATCTAATTTCTTTATTCCATTAGAGACTTATGATAGACATTGAAACGTTAAACTCTCTCTTATTCTCCACAAACAATGGTCTTTTACTTTCTATTTGTCGTAACGTTTGTTTTTTATTTATTTATTAGTAATTTATTCTATCTGGGTGATATAATACAATTATTTTTATTTTATTACAACTAAATAATTGTTTGAATATGAGTATATGACTTAATACAGTTTTATTATAGACATAAAAAAGGTTATAGTGATGGTTTTTAAACCCATATTTTATTTTAAATTGTATAAGAGTTAAATTACTTCTATTCGTTGATTAAACTATACTTTAATTATAAAAATATTATTAAAGTATAGTTTTTAATAAACCCCAGAAGTTATACAATTTTAACGCGTTAAATTAAAAAAAAGAGGAATAATATTAATAAAATAGTTAATTTATGATATTGAAGATTTATTATGTATTAAAAATGCAAGTATTGTATTAAATTATTTTTCAAACTATGGAAAAATAGAAGAATTATTTTTATGGGCATTTAAAGAAGAAAATTGCAATTTAAAAACAGCATATTTAGAAGAAAAAAATGAAGTAGAATTTAATAAGTTTTATTCAATATTTAGTCGAGTGTATTCATTACAAGAAATCAATGAATTTCAAAGAAATATATGTAAACCAATAATTGAAACACCAGAATATTTTGATCAACTTAATATTGAATTATTAAAAAGTCCAAAAGAAGAATTTACAGAAGAAATGATAGAAATGTCAAACCAATCATTAGGGACATTAAGAGAAATTATATTAATAATGATTGAGTCAATGAAAAATAATATTGAACAATTACCTAAAGAATATTGTTCAATATTAAAATATATTATTGAACATGAAACTGCTAATTTAAATAAACAAGAAATTCAAATAATATATGAAGAATTATTTGCTGTTTTTATTCAACAAAGTATCGTCCCTTTTCTTCAAAATGAAGTTTTACTTAGAAAAATGTATAAAAAAGAATTAATTGATCAAAATATTAATAAAATTAAATTCATCGCTGAAACATTTAAAACTTTCCAATTTAAATCTAATGAAAGTTATGTTTTATTACTTAGAAATTGTATTGATGAAAATGGACTTTCTGAATTATTTAATAACATTATTAATCAAGCTGAAATTATTCAACATCCTAAACCTTTTGAACAATTAAATAATTTGATTTTATTACTTCATTCTTCTATATTACCAATTAAAAGAAATTTAAGTCATGAAGTGTCTGCTAAATTATTAAAAGCTTTGGAAATACCTGCTTGTTGTTATGATGACTTTTTAGTTTATAATAAATTAATTCAAAATATAGCAAATTTTACTATGAATTATTATCATTGCTTTAGAGAAACTTTAGACAAAGCAGAAGCACAGTCTAAAGAATTAGAAGAAATTAAATCACAAATTGAAAACGCTAAAAAAGAATTAAAATCTAAAAAATTAAAAAATTGTAATCTTCAGATTAGACTTGATGACTTGAAAAGTAAAAACGAACAAGATGATGAAATGGATGTAATGAGTTTCTTGCGTGAGATGGCTAAAGAAAAACAGGAAAACCAACGTCTTGTTGAAGTGCATACAAAAGAAAAGAAAGATAAAAAACATTCTGATAAAAAGAAAGAAAAACGAAAGTCGTTTGTTAAAGATGATGAAATTCCTGTTGCTCGTTCATTGTCTTCTTTTGAATGTAAAGATAGTGATAAAAATTCTTATTATAAAAGAGAAAGTTGTGCATCTGTTTGTATTAGTAGTGAATATGAAGAAAAGAAAAAGAACAGGTTATCTAGATCATTTTTAGGATTTTTCGATAAGAAAAAGAAAGAAAAGAAAAGTGGTGATGAAAGTGGCTGTGATAGTAGTGCATTAGATTCTAGTGAAACTGTATATCCTGTTAGTGTTTCTGCAAATACTCCATCTCTCAGATCAAACGTTCATTTATAACTTTTTATATTCATTTTATTTTTATTTAAATCAATTTCATTTCTCTTTTTATTTTTTTTCTTTCACTTTTTATTTGATTATTTTTTTTTTATTATTCTTTCATTTTTATCTATCGTTATTCGTTTATCAATTAATTACTTCCATTCCTTTATCACTGCTTTATCAATGAAATATTTATATTTGAAAATACCATAAATCATTTAATAAAAGTATTCACTTTAACTATAAATTTTAACATTCAAATGTAATTATTTGTTATTATTTTTTTAAATGACGACATAATCATTATTGATTTTGTCTTTGCAAAATTGTTAATATTCAATTCCAATTATAATAATCATTCTATCAATCTTTTTTAAAAATATAAATTTGAGTTTTTGTGTTTTATTTTTATAATGAATTATTAAAGAATTGTTAAATTTTTTATAAATTACAATTCAATAATGAATTGATGAAATAAATAATTTATTTAATTATTCATCTTACTTCATCTACTTAAAATACGTATTAATTGGTTTTAATTATGTTAAATATTAGGGTTATTTCTTCTTTATTTATATTAACAAATACTTTGAAGGTAGTTATTAACTTCTTTGAATGATATAATTTTAGAATAATAATTCCATAAATTGAATTGTTTCATTGAACGTCTAAATTTAAGATAAAAAATAAACCAAAATTATATTTACAA